CTTGAATGGCAAGAAGCTGATCGACATTTCTAAAGAAAATGCTGTAACCAGGATCAGGGAACATTCTGGAGGCCTGGGAGGATCCCATGGTGCTGTCACGTCAGCCAGCAGGGAGGACGGTGGAGGGCAGCAGCCGCAGGGCTTCGGCCTGTGCTGTCCAATGTGCTAGTCACCAAGCACACATGGCTGTTCCAAGTTGAACTAAAGTGAACAAATATTAAAATTCAGAACCTCAGCCCCAGCCGGGCGGCCCAGTTGGTTGGAGAGTCATCCCATACATCAAGAGGGTTGCAGGTTCAATTCCCAGGCAGGGCACATACCTGGGTTGGGGGTTCAATCCCTAGTCGGGACATGTGCAACTGTCAATGTTTCTCCCTCACATCAATGTTTCTCTCTCTCCCTCTCTCTCAAATCAATAAACATATCCTTGGATGAGGATTAAAAAAACAACACCTCAGGCCTGGCTGGTGGCTCAGTGGTTGAGCATTAATCTATGAACCAAGAGGTCACCAGTTCAATTCCTGGGTCCTGCAGGACACTGGGTTGTGGGCTCATTCCCCAGTAGGGGTCCTGCAGGCCACAGCAGATCGATGTTTCTCTCTCATCGATGTTTCTATCTCTCTATCCCTCTCCCTTCCCCCCTCTCTAAAATCAATAAAAACATATTTTTTAAAAATTCAGAACCTCAGTTGCAGTGGCCACACTTCAAGTGCTCAATAGCCACATGTGGCTTGTGGCTCCTGTCCGGAAAGGTGCAGATCTAGAAATGCCATCACGGAGTGTTCTCCTGATGAGCTGTACTGCATGGCAACTGCTCAGTAAATTTTATGGGACAGAGAGATGGAAAAGGGAAGTGGAGAAGAGGGAGGGAGGGATGGGAAGGTGTTTCTCTGTGTTCCCTGACTTGAGCCTGAGGTGCCCCAGATACAGGAACATCTTTCCCCAAACCCCTCAGACTACTTGGGACACATTCTGCCCAGAGGTCACACACTCCAGAGCCTCTCCTGGAGACAGCAATCAGCAGCCCCAGAAGGCGATAGAGCAGCTTCCAGTCCTGACCTCGGGCTTCTCTGGGAGGATGCCAGGCCAAGACTTTCAGGCAATGCTCTCTCGTGGCTCCTCAGGGCGTCTTCAAGAAAACTCACGCAGGCAGGGAGTGCCTGGGCTCAGGTCTGGTGACCACACAGCATATCCAACGTGGGCCACTGCAGCCAAGTTGTCACTGCATTAAGGACAGGTGGCTGTCACTCCACTGGAGCACCTCTGGACAGATTTCAGAATGACGGGGCAAATACTCCTCCATACCTGGGAGAAAACCATGGCTGCCGCCACTGAGGTCCGGGCACTGTCCTCCCTCACATCACGTGTCCTGCCAGGTTTTCTGCCCTAGCCTCCAAGGGGTCTCCGCGTCCACTCTCACCCTCCATTCCATTCAGCTTGGTTCAGCCATAGTGCCTTTTCCCAAGTGCAAGTCTGATGCACTTGTGATCCTAAAAGCCCCCACTGTCTGGCCCCTGCTCCATCTTCTATCGCTGTCCCCTCCCAAGCATGAGCTTCCTATGTGGGTTGCACACCCCAGACTACCCCTGGAGGCCTTTACACTGTGTGCCTCTGCCCAGACATTCTGTCCTCATCCTTTGTTGCTGGGATAACCAGACTCATCTTCAAGTCTCAGCTCAGACGGCCCGCCCCCAGGAACCTTCCCTGACCCTCAAGACCCAGTCAGCATGCCTTGCCTTATCTGAGGTTCCAAACAGAGCACAGAGCCTGAGGCAAGGATTGAGTGTTTTATTGAGAGGTAATCCAGGAAGCCTTGTGAGGAAGTGCGGAAGGAAGACAGGGAAGGAAAGGAGCCAGGACAAAGGACATTTCCAGGAAGGTGACCCGTGTCAGTTGGGGCTCAGCCTGCTGGGACCCTCAGGAGACAGTGCAGAACACAGCTCAGAGGGGGAAGAGACTGTTTATCCACATCTCCCACCATCACTGGTTGAGGGCTGCTCCCTGGGGTGTCACTCCCCAACACATCCAACCTGTTCCTGCACAGACTCCTGCAGCCAGAGATCACTCCAGTCAGAGACTGATGGTCCTTGGGGCAACACGGGCATGTGAGCAGGATGTGACATGGACAATGTCCCCTGCTCTCCCACCCCCATGCTCACGTGTACTTCACTCTTAACACCACTATCTGCCTGAGAGCAACTTGGGGTTCAGGCACATCTTCTTACACTCTCTCCCCAATGCCTGGCACATAATCAGCAACATGGTTTGCTGACTGAATGCCTGATACTTATGTAGCCCTTGGGACTCTGAAGATGCACCCAGGAGAAGGCAGCTGTGCCTCCCGCAGGGAGCCTGGAGGCCCACCGCCACAGCCAGCTCAGAGGGAAGGATGTGCCCACACACCCCGCAGGGCCAGCCACTGGGCCGTGACTGAGCTGTCTTTGTCCTGCATGTCTGTGGCAACCAGTCCTCTGGACTAGACTTCTTCAGTCTCTAAAATGGACACCCCGTTCACACATCCCAGAGTCTATTCCTGTGGGAATCTGTCCATTCCTTCCTCCTGGTCAGTGACAGAGGTTAGCTCAGGATGGGGGATTTGAGTACTTTCCTGTATTCTCAAAATCGCCCAAAGCAAACTGTACTGCTTTTCTAATTAAACTTTTACTTTGAGATCATTGTAGATTCACATGTACTTATAAGAAAAAATAGAGAGCCCGTTACCTTCATCCAGTTTGCCCAGTTGGTAACATCTTGCAAAACTATGGTGCAATATCACAACCAGAACACTGATAAAAGTCAAGATATAAAATATTTCCATCACAAGGATGCCTCATGTTGCCCTTGTATATGCACACCCATTTCCCTCCTACCTCACCAGCTCCTGAACCCCTGGCAACCACTAATCTGTTCTCCATAGCTATAATTTTATCATTTGATGAATGTTATGTATGACAACTGGATATCCACATGCAAAATAATGAGCCCAGAACCCTACCTCGCACCATATAAAAACATTACAAAAATTAACTCAAAATAGATTTAAAAAAATGTAAGAGATCAATTATGAATCTGTTAAGAGACAACATAGATTCACATATACTTTGTAAAATTGGATTATGCAATGGTTTCTTAGAAATGACCATATGACCTAGAAAACAAGCAACCTTAGAGAATTGAGATCACTGAAATTAAAAAATTTTTGTCAAAGGACATTAGGAAGTGAAAAGGCCCCTGGCCAGTGTGGCTCAGTTAGTTAGAGCATTGTCCTGTGCACCAGAAGGTGGTGGGTTCCATTCCCAGGTAAGAAATAATAAAGTGAGCCCTGGACAGTTGCTCAATGGTTAGAAGGACTGAAGGGTCACAGGTTTGATTCCCAGTCAAGGGCACATACCCAGGTTACAGGTTCGATCCCCTGAGCCCCAACTGGGGCTCATGCAAGAGGCAACCAATCCATGTGTCTCTCTTAATGTCAATGTTTCCCTCTATCTCTCCCTCTCTTTCTATTTCTCTCTCTCCCTCCCTCCTTTCCACTCTCTCTGAAAATCAGTAGAAAAAATATCCTCGGGTGAGGATTTTTTTAAAAAAGTGAAAAGGATTTTAAAAAAATGAAAGTGAAAAAGATTTTTTTAAAAAGTGAAAAGGCAACCCACAGAATAGGAGAAAATATTTTCAAATAAATATATAGTATCCAGAATACATAACACAAATTTAACAATAAAAAAAAGACAGTCCAATTAAAATATACACAGTGGGTTGAATAGACATTTCTCCAAAGAAGATATACAAATAGCCAATAAGCATATGAAAAGATGCTCAATATCATTAGTCATTAGGGAAATGCAAATCAAAACCACAGTGAGATACTACTTCACAACCAAAAGGATGGCTAGTAGCAAAATGACAGATACTAAGTATTGGAGAGGATACGGAGAGATCCAAACCCTCATGTCTTGCTAACAGGAATATAAAAAATAAAATGGTGCAGTTTTCCACTGTGGTGAGAAAGTTGCCATACGACCCAGCATTCCTAAGTACATACCCAAGAGGAATGAAAATAAAAACATTAAGCTAATGTCCAGCTGGTGTGTCTCGGTGGTTGAGCATCATCAATCCATGAACCAAGAGGTCACAGTTCGATTCCCAGTCAGGGTACATGCCCTCATTTCAGGCTCGATCCCCAGGAGGGTGAGTGCAGAAGGAGCCAATCAATGATTCTCTCATCATTGATGTTTCTCTCTCTCTTTTCCTCTCTGAAATCAATAAAAAAAATTTAAAAAACCAACAAAAAATCACTCAGCTAAGTGAAAGAAGCCAGACACAGAAGACTCACATACATACATGAAATGTGCAGAATAGGAAAAGTCAGAAAGTAGGTTAGTGGTTTCCAGGGGATGGGAAAGACGGGGAGGAGGAGTGACTGCTTGGTAGATACAGGGTTTCTTTTGGGGGTGACTAAAAAGGTCTAGAATTAGATAGTGGTAAATATACTGAAAACCACTGAATAATATACTTTAAAAAGGTATGTTTTAGCCCTGGCTAGTGTGGCTCAGTTGGTTGGAGCATCATCTCATGCACCGAAAGGTCACGGGTTTGAATCCTGATCAGGGCACATACCCAGGTTGTGGATTCAATCACTGGTCAGGACTTGTATGGGAGGCAACCCACCAATGTTTCTTACATTGATGTTTCTCTCTCCCTCTTCCTTCTGCTCTCTCTAAAATCAATAAAATAAATAAATTAATTAATTAAAGTATATTTTATGGTATGTGAATGGCATCTCAGTTTTAAAAATTCAATTCACATACAACTTTATGCTATTTAAAGTGAGGCCCACCTGAAACAGATGCTGAAACCATTTCTGGTCCCTCATCCAGAGGTTCTGCTGTCCTTGGCAGAGGGAAGAGAAACTTGGAAATGGCCCCCATCCCACAGGGACTCAGAGGTAGAAAATAAGTCACTCCTTCATGAGGGGGAATCATTATCAATAATATAGTGACCACTTTAGAGTTTCACAAATAACATTTATTGATTACATTTATAACAGAATCTCACCCGCATTCACAGCAACTCTGTACAACCAAGAATCCCCCCATGAGAAATAACTTGGATTGAATCTTGGGTGTGAATTATGTGATCTGTGAAAAGAGTGGCTATCACAGACTCCTCCTGATTTAACAACTTTCATTAAAGACCTTGATTATGATTGACATTTTTGTTGATGTTCTTGATACTAGCTGAAGATTCCAGCTTCAAACCCCCCAAAAATGGCTGAAAAGCAAAGAGAAAGACAGTTACTAGGAACATCCTCCAGCTGAGCCCACACTGCCCTTGCAGGGCCTGTCAGGAAGCCTCCATGAGGAGGAGAGTGCAGGGTACCCCACAATGGAGGGGGATGCCATCCAGGTGCCCAGTGCACTTAGTCCTGAGGAGCCCAGGCAGGAAAGGGGTGCAGTGAGGCGACGCCAGGGTGCAATCTTAGCTGGCTCACTTTTAGCTATGGGACCTCAGGCAAGTCACGCAACCCCTCAGAGCCCGCTCTCTCCTCCTGGAACAAGGATAGAGTCCCAGCCTTGCAGAACCAGAAAAGGAATGGAATGGAATGAAAGCTACAGCAGGTCTGATCAAGAAGACAAGCACCTGACTTAGTCACTGTTCCTTGGGGCTCCCTGTTAGGAAGGTTCTGAGTGCGCCCGCCCTCCCGAGGCCTCTCCAATTCTAGCAAGTCTCCGCCAGGCCAACTGATGGGCGGCCAGTGGCTTCTCCTCAGATAAGCTAGTTGTGTAGTTTGGGGTATCTCCCAGGGCATCCCACATACACCCCATCCAGGTAGGATATCTCTCCTAAACAGCTGCTTGGTGCCTGCACCTCTGCCCTAAGAGCCTGCCTCAAACGCAAACACCTGTAAAGGCATCAGCAGTTTTCCTTTGGGCCTACCCTGACCATCTACTTTACAGCCAAGCTTCTTTCTTTGCTCTTCCCAGAGTGGGTACAGAGGAGTCCAACTAAATTTGACATTGAGTTGGCAAGCATAAAAAGAAAGATGAATCTTCATGAAAAGCAAAGGAAAATCTCACAGCGCTGACCTACTCATGTTAACAGGTCATTCCAAGTTGACGAACCCCTGCCCGGGCCCCTTCCTGGGAGCACATGCCCTGAGAGGCTGAGCTACAGGTCACTTGTAAGTGAATGTGCATCACAGGGTTGTTTATCATCCCAGGGAGTCCAACACTAGGATAGACAAGTGGGACACAGGGGAAAGGGACTCCCATTTCTGGCCATGGGAGAATGACACAGACAAAGCTAACCTGACACAAACTACTAGAAAAATGGGGAAATGACACCTACAACTGTTTTCGGGTGCTGGACATTTTCTAGAATATTCCTCTTACATTACATGGACGAGACAGAAAATTACAAAGCAAACAAGTCAATACATGTAAATTAGAATTATATACATTTACATATTAATATGTATTTGCATGTCTATATACATAGAAGTGTGATAAAAAGGAATTGGACTGGATGGGATAATGGTTAGGAAACAATGGGTGAACTGGGGCAGAGGCTGGGGGGGAGGATTTGGAGGAAGAAGGCTTTTTCAGAGGAGACTAAAGGAAGAAGCTGGGTAAGGGGGGGCATCCCTTGAACCCTAGAGTCACCCTGGAGGCTTCCTGGAGGGACTAAGCAGGATTCCAGGTGAGAAATGTGGGGCCTGGTGGAGGCTGGTGGGGTCCAGATTGGTTAAGAGCTTTCCAACATGCAGCCTCGATGACTGAGGCAGGGCTCAGGGAGAGGCAGCAGGTCCCACCCCAAAAGTGTGCTCAAACCCCAGAAGGCTAGCTGGGCGAGCTCTAAGATCCACTTTCAACCCTGACATGATGAAAATGTATGGGAACTAGAACTGGAGGTTTTGGGGGGGCAGGAGGATTTTAGAACTTGGGACAGAAAAGAGGTGAAGAAAGGTGGGAGGCCCAAAGTGTCCCGGTCCCCACCATCAGCGCCATCATATCTGATTGCTTTTCCACTAAGCAATGGAATGAGAGAGAAGACACCTGCTTTGGGTATGACGAAGACTCTGGACTTGATAACGCATAACACTAGCCATGGCCACACCCATTTCTCAATTTTTTGCTGAACTACAACCAAGTTCTCCCACATCTTTGCCTCCCATACAGCCCAGGGAGTGAGATGGGCCTGGGGCACCTCTGTCCCCACGAGCCTGCTTACCGAATGAACGAGATGGCCCTCAAGACAGCCTGGAGGAAGGCCAGGAAGCTGAGGCAGAGAGGCAGGAAGGAGGGCTGGGGGATCACTCTCCTCTCCGGGGCCAGCTGCCCTTCCTGGTGAAGGGCCTGGAGCTGCAGCCACTTGAGGAGGAGGTGTCTGCTGCAGCAGATCCGCCAGCGGTGGTGCCAGGAGTGTGAGTCCAGGGGGGATTCTAGGCAGAGAAAGCGAGTCAGGCCCAGCCTGGGTGTGGGGACAGGCCCATCCATCCTAAGTTTGTACACTGCACACCAGACAACCTCCAGAACCCAGGGCAGGAAGCCAAGTGCCCCAGCAAGACGGGTCACAGCCCCAGGGTGTGGACACTGAGCCAACATTCATCAAGATGAAGAGGGCTGTTTACTTATTTCCATGGTGATCATGGGGCCTCCTGGCTGTTTTTTGAGTTTTTATCTTTTAGAGCTGGGTACGGAAACATTTATGGATGAAAGGATATGGAATTTAGTTGAGATCTGTTTCTTGTTATTCATTCATTCATTCATTCATTCATTCATTCATTCATTTATTGAAGAACAGAGTGGGTGAAGCTCAGATGAAACCAGGTTGGCGAGGAGCTGATGGTTGGAGCTGAGTGATGAAACATGGGACTTATCTGGGTACTTGAAATTCCCCATAATACAAAGTTAACAGCAATCACAACCACCAGTGGGATTCCTGTGCTCCCATCTCCTTGACCCGCTCAGGTTTCTAGACACCTACTTTGTAAATACGCACCCTCCTGATAGTACAACTCATGTATTTACTATACTACTAATGCATTACTACTATAAAACGTACATTCTAATTATACTGATATGAAGGTGCACTACTAATATAAAATATAACAAATATATTTTCCTTTAAAAAATTCTAAGCAAAAGCAAAGAGAAGAAACTACAAGATGAGAAATACAGATTTTCTCTTTAAATAGAAATCAGTCCTGGCCAGTGTTTCCAAGTTGTTAGAGCATCGGCCCACACACCAAAGGGTCTTGGATTCGATTCCTGGTCAAGCACACGTACCTGGGTTGCAGGGGGCAGTGTGGGAGGCAACCAATTGATGTGTTTCTCTCACATCCATCTCTCTCCCCCCCCATTCCCTCCCTCCCTTCCATTCTCTAAAAAAATCAAGTTCCTCTGTATGAAGCTCTCAAAGGGATACATGGTAATTCTCCTTGTACAGTAAGACTGCCCTCTCCAGTGAACACCTCTGGCTTGAATGGGCTTGAGGGCTTGAAAAATTATTAATATTAACTGCCTGAACTATAAAACAATGGTTGGAGTAAAAATTAATACTGTTTTTGCTGTTGTTTTTAATCCTCACCCAAGGATATTTTCCCCATCGATTTCTAGAGAGTGGGAAGGAGGAGGAAGGGGGGAAAGAGAAACATTGATGTAAGACAGATACATCGATTGGTTGCCTCCCTACCTGGGCTGGGGAACCTGCAACCAAGGTACATTGATCAGGAATCAAACCCATGACCCTTTGGGCTGCGGGCTGACATTCTAACTACTGAGAAAAACTGGCCAGGGCTAATACTGTTTTTTATCAATGTATCAGTTGACATATATGATTCAACAATAAACTAACTGCGTGTTTAGATTTACTTAAAGATGCAGAGTATTATTCAAAGCCAAAAACAACCAATAAAAATAAACCCATAAATGTGTGTGATTATACAATTAGAATAGCAGTGTGGCCCTAGCTGGTTTGGCTCAGTGGATAGAGCGTCGGCCCGCAAACTGAAGGGTCTGGGTTCGATTCTGGGCAAAGGCACATACCTCAGGTTGCAGGCTCAATCCCTGGCCCTAGTTGGGGTGCATGCGGGAGGCAACCAATTAATATGTTCTCTCACACTGATGTTTCTCCCCCTTCCTTCCACTTTCTCTAAAAAATCAGTGGGGGAAAAAAATCCTCAGGTGAGGATTAACAAAAAAGCAAAAGCCCTGTTAGGATACAGATAAGGGCTGGGCAATGTATGTCTGAGTTGACAGTCACTGGTAACCCATGAGGGCAGGGAGGAAGGTAGGTAAGGGCCCTGCAAAGAGAAATTGGGGTGGGGGTGCATAATTAACAAAACAGAAAGCAAAAGATTGGCTCTAGTTTCAGATACAAAAGCTAAAAATCACTTTATTTAAAAAACTCTGTACCAGTAGGAGAATAATTGTAGGACAAACTGCTACTCTTTTTTTGTTGTTGTTGTTAATCCTCACCCGAGGATATTTTTCCATTGATTTTTAGAGTGGAAGGGGTGGGGAGAAATATCAATGTGAGACAGCGATTGGTTGCCTACTGCACGTGCAACCCAGGTAGGTGCCCTTGAATGGGAATCGAACCTGCGACCTTTAGGTGCGCAGGTCAACACTCTCACCACTGAGCAATGCTGACCAGGGCCAGGGCTTTTGCTTTTAAATGTGTATGGGCTTGCTTTTGTTTTCCTTTGTCACAATGTTTTTTCTCTGGGGCTAGGGGGTCCATTTCATTGTCCCCAACAGCTGCATTCTCTAGGTGGCAAGTGCCACGTTTCAAATACACCCCCACTGATGTTCATTCTCCCAAAATACTGCTTCCAATATTTTTCCCTGGAAATCACTGCTGCAGACGGGTGCATGTGGGAGCGTCTACAGACATGATCGGATGTGGTCTTGCTGGATTAAGGGTTATGCATATTATGAAATTTGACAGACACCTCCAAATTGCCCCCCTGGCAAAGGCTGTGATAATTTACACTTCTCCTCATTGTGTTACTTTTATAATCAGGAAAAAATATGAATCTTTTGCAACATGAAGAGATGGGCATGCTGAGTAGTGGCCCTTCCCTTCCCAAGCATGCTCCCACCCAGCTTCTCTTGGGCTCTGAGAGGGCTGCTCAAACTACTCGCCTGTCACAGGAACCCTGGCATTGGGCATCCAATCTCCTATCGCGCTATCCACCCATTTCCCCCTGTGTTTACAGATTCCATCAAGGTGTACTCACTTCTCAGAGCCTGGCTACAGCATGCCAAGGGGAGGACATGGTACAAGCTCACAAAACATGTCCACTCCTTTGCTCACATGCAATGCGGAGAAAACAGACGTGCTGGACATCAGCACCAGAAAGGGTCTTTAAGAGCAAATCCGACCCACTCATTTTAGAGACAATGGATATAGCGGTCAGGGTGCAGATGCCACCTTGTATAGTATGACATGAGAGCATAACTGAATATAGATACAGGGTCACAAATGGGTATATATTTTGTCAGGAATATGTACTACTTCATGAACATATGAATATGTATGTACTATGTCATGAATATATGAATGTGTATATTCTAGGTCACAAACATGAATGTATGAAGATACTGTGTATTAAGTATATGCATAAATATGGTCTCACGAACAGAGAATGTTATGAATATACAATGTAGAAATGTGTACTATTTTATGAATATATAAATAAACTATCATAAATATATGTATATACAACACACACAGTATGTCATAAATTATAGACAATTAGAGATTTAAAAAAAAAACACTTTAAATACCTTCTAACTCCAGACTGCAAACTGGTTTCATCTTAAAAACCAAGGCTGGCCTAGCCGGCATGGCTCAGTGATTGAGCATTGACTTATGAGCCAGGAGGTCACAGTTCAATTTCTGGTCAGGGCACATGCCCGGATTGTGGGCTCAATTCCCAGTGTAGGGCATGCAGGAGTCAGCGGATCATTGATACTCTCTCATCATTGATGTTTCTATCGCTCTCTCCCTCTCCCTCCCTCTCTGAATTCAATAAAAATAAATTTTAAAAAAATGCTGATAGATGGGTCAAGTCTGAGGCTTCCCTGGGTTCATTGGGAAAACATGGTGGGTGATTAATGCCTGGGAATAGCGCGGGGGTAGAAGTGCTATGTGTGCCAGTCTGTGGATGCCTGTGTGTTACAGGCACCTGGGATAAGAGAAGTCTCCCCATCCCCATCACGATGGTCAGGAGACCCCCTGCCTTCCCGGGGGAGATTTACCTTTAATGCTTTTAAAACTCTGCTGCCTTTTCACCACCTAAAAGAAAAGCATGTCAGCAAACGTGTCCACCCTGGTGATCCAAGGGCGGGAAGGGGAATTTGGTCTGGAAACCACCAAAGAGGCCATGGCCAGCGAAAAACATCAGTGCCCTGGTCTCCTTTTAAAAGGATTCTGGGTCTTAATTCTGGGGACAGTTTACTGCTTGATGGTGGAAACCCAGCAACTGGAATGTGGGTGAAGGCAGAAGGAAGCTCTAATACCACCCAGGACACCATGGGATAAGGGTGCCAGGGGCTAAGGAGGGCTGGACCTGGCCAACCTGCAGTCACTGCCTTGCAACCCAGAGCCAAACAAAGCAAAGAGCCAAGACAGAAACTCAGAGCAATGGTCCTTCCTCGATACCCTCCCTCCTGCCACCACCCTCCATGAGTGCCAGGGGTGGGGTTAGAAAAACAGGATGCTCAGACAGGCTGAGAGAGCTGGAAGTGGGGGAGGGAGGGAAGAGGTGGTGGAAAGGAGGAGACAAGGTGATGAGGAAGCAAGCAAGGTGGCGTAAGGGGGGAAGGAGAAGAGGAAGAGGAGAAGGTGGCAGTAGAAATGGTGGTAAGGAGGGCAGCAGAGACAGGCACCCTCCTCAGAGAGCAGTGTACCCCCCTTCCCAACCTCCACCAGGACATAAGACCTGGCCCCAACCACACCCCACCTCTGTGCTGCTCTGCCATGGCCTTCAGAGGACCCTCCCACAGGACGTCAATGGAGGCCTCTGTGGGGAAAGAACCCAGCACCCTCCCCGCTCATCTCTGGGTCCCCCCAAAGGCCCGCCCTCACTCTCAGGCTCCTTGCTGTGAGAGCCTCCCTCTTACCTTCTTGCAAGACCTCAGGACCCGGGGCACCCAGTAGGGCATCACAGCCTGATCCCTAGGCATCGGGAGATAGCCCCCAGAGTGGTGATCTGGGCAGGGGCACGCCTTGGTGGCTTTGGGGATATCAGTCTGGACCATATTTTGGATCTAACAGAGAGGAAGGGAAGAGGTGGATGGAGCTGTGCCCCAGACAAACTTAGCCTCAGGGACAGAGCCTGGTGAGCTCGTCTCCACATCCCTCCCACAAGCACACGCCAACACCCCAGCTGAGGGAGTAGGGGTGGGAGGCACAAGCGCCTCCATGGTTCCCCTGCCCTCACTACCCACCTGGATGACTGATCCCTAATCCTAACCCTGGATCCTAATGTTTGACCATAATACCTAGTCTAAACTTAGCTAGTGCTAAGATGGTAGGAGAAATGGTGGTAAGGAGGGCAGCAGAAACAGGCACCCTCCTCAGAGAACAGTGTACCCCCCTTCCCAACCTCCACCAGGACATAAGACCTGGCCCCAACCACACCCCACCTCTGTGCTGCTCTGCCATGGCCTTCAGAGGACCCTCCCACAGGACGTCAATGGAGGCCTCTGTGGGGAAAGAACCCAGCACCCTCCCCGCTCATCTCTGGGTCCCCCCAAAGGCCCGCCCTCACTCTCAGGCTCCTTGCTGTGAGAGCCTCCCTCTTACCTTCTTGCAAGACCTCAGGACCCGGGGCACCCAGTAGGGCATCACAGCCTGATCCCTAGGCATCGGGAGATAGCCCCCAGAGTGGTGATCTGGGCAGGGGCACGCCTTGGTGGCTTTGGGGATATCAGTCTGGACCATCTTTTGGATCTAACAGAGAGGAAGGGAAGATCCGAAGGTGGATGGAGCTGTGCCCCAGACAAACTTAGCCTCAGGGACAGAGCCTGGTGAGCTCCTCTCTACATCCCTCCCACAAGCACACGCCAACACCCCAGCTGAGGGAGCAGGTCTCCCCTTCATGACATTCTGGGGCAGGAGGCACCAGCATCTCCATGGCCCCCCTGCCCTCACTACCCACCACTTGTACCTGTGAATGCAGTGGGACTCTGAATGGCGAGTGGTGCAGGGGCAGGACACACAGGTTGGAGCCGAGAGACCTGGCTCTGTCCTGAGCCTGGTGGCCTCTAGGAACAGCCCTTGGGCACAACATTCAGCCCCACTAAGTGTCAGCATTCTCAGCCATAAAGAGGGCTTTGCCAGCATTTTGATAACATTGATCAGAATCTAATATCACAGTCTTCGATCCAGCAATGGATTCCTGAGACTGCATCCCAGGACTTGTGTACATCTGCAAAATGTGTGCACAGAACACTCACTGCAGCATTGGCTGTTGTGACCGAAGAGCCTGAATGCCCATCAATAAAGAACAATAAGTGATGAGAGGAAGGGACAGAGGAAATAGGATGGCCTTTGGTAACAAGGTAATGTAGTCTGTCAGACATGATGTGAAGTGGGAAACAGCACTGTAAGCACATCACTGTACTATTTGCGGTTTTAAAAAGATATATGTGTAATATTGCTTGTACATGAGTTGTGGTGGGCCACATCCAATTCTTCACCCTTTCTCTGCAGCCTCCCCCTTTGCCATGTGACTCTGCAGTTCCTTCCAGCAGGGACAGGGTAGACCTCAACTTTGGTTAGACCAGGGAGAGCCAGATCTGGACCTGGGCTAAAGGATCCTCAGAGGTTTCCAGCTGCTCTTACTCATTTGTCATTGCCACAGGAAGACCATGCCTGAGCAAGCCCACCAGCCTCAAGATCAGACACACATGGGGCTGGGCTGCCCCCCAGACACACAAATAACAACAGTGACTGCTCTTTCAAGCCAGGAGTTGGGTGACTTATTACACATCACTAGTGAAAGAATATGCCAGCTTAGGTAGCAAGATGTTAGTAAAGGAAGGGGGTGAGGGAATCAGGCGTTATTATGCATAATCAACTAGAGAGCATAGGCTTGCTTCCCTGGGAAGTTACAGCTTCATACACTCCCCAGGGAACAGGCTAGAACAGTAAAGGGGAGGTAAGCACGTGTGCAGTAGGAGCCAAGATGTGAGCATAGCCTGTCAGTCTCGCCTGGGAAAATAATACACTGGTTAAGAGTTGGACCCACTGAGCCCAGTAATGCGCACTAGCCCGTTCGTTTGCGCATTCTCTCTCCATAGTAACTGTGTGGCCCTAGAAGCCCCGGGGACTCCAAATGCAGGCTCCCAAGTGGGAGCCTGGGTCCAGCAGCACAGCAACGGCAGTAGCTGGGAATGGCGCTAAGCTACCTGGATGGGACTGAGGTTGCTGACACCAGACTAATGGCACAGAATCTTTGGACACCTGCCTTCGTTTGGGCCTTGAAGAAGAAGAGGCTGGACTTTTTCCATGGCAGGAGGGTCGGAAATGGGACACTGGGGACCCAGGGGCACTCTTTTGGTTTTGCATCTGGTGCCACAGATTACCACGTCACACCCTCCCATAGGTGGGTCTCTTGAATGTCTTCCTAGAGACCCCGTCAAACAGCACTGTTTCCAACGATAGCAGATACACACAGAAAATCTCCAGGACACACAGCAAGCCTTGGGGTAGGGTCTGAGCAACAGGAAAGGGGGCGGAGGCAGGCTCCTTTGTACTGCTGGAATTCCCAACCATGCGCACATGTCACACATTACAGAAAGTAATAAAAACTACTTTTGAGTGACCCTGTTGACTTCCCAAAGCTGCCAGGAGCACCAGACAACCTGTATGAGATGTGCTGCAAAGCACAGATGACTCTACAGAGGAAGGGCTGAGGGGATCTGAGGACTTAGGCAAAGGAGAAGACCTAACAAGGCCTGGGGCACTCAGGACCCTCCCCAATCTCTGCACCTCTTGCCACCATGGCATGGACACTGCCCCCCCCCCTTGCCTGTGACCCCTTTGTTGGCAGGATGAGGACACTCTGGCCAGTTCTACCCAGTCTACTAACCACTTGCTGAGCGCATGCTCCCTGGCAGTGCTGCACTAGAAGCACATGGAACTCCATCCTGTCCACTGGGGGTCACTCCACCACACCATCCATGGGAAATAATAAATGCCGGGAGGACAGGGAACAGGAGCTAGGAAAGCATTCCAAGCCAGAGGAGGCTTTCCAAGAGAGTCACTGAACCAGGTCCCAGGGGCTGGCCAGTGGAGAAAGCAGCAGAAGAGCATGAGCCTATTTGACAGCCCTCAAGGAAGTGGGTAACGGAACTAACTTCACGGGCAGACCTTACAGTTTGTCCATGCAGCAATCACTTCCTCCCTCTTATTAAAAGTACCCAATGCCCTAGCCCCGTGGTCGGCAAACTGCGGCTCGCGAGCCACATGCGGCTCTTTGGCCCCTTGAGTGTGGCTCTTCCTAAGCCTTAGGAGTACCCTAATTAAGTTAATAACAATGTACCTACCTATATAGTTTAAGTTAAAAAAATTTGGCTCTCAAAAGAAATTTCAATCGTTGTACTGTTGATATTTGGCTCTGTTGACTAATGAGTTTGCCGACCACTGGCCTAGCTGGTTTGGCTCAGTGGATAGAACATCAGCCTGCAGAATAGAGTCCCAGGTTCAATTCTGGTCAAGGGCACGTACCTTGGTTGCAAGCTTGATCCCCACCCCGATTAGGGAGCATGCCTGAGGCAACCAATCAATGTCTCTCTCTCACATCGATGTCTCTCTCTCTCTCTCTCTCTCTCTCTCTCCCCCCCCACTCTAAAAATCAATGGGAAAATATCCTCAGGTGAGGATTAACCCAAAAAAACAAAAACACACCCATTCATATAATTCTGATTATATGAATCAGAACTTATGACTCTGAGGAGTGACTGGTCCCCTGAAGTTTACCCCGGACCCAGATGAAGAACCCCTGGTTCAAGTCACCTACCTGCTTTTGGGGTCTCAGGGACAGAGGGACCCAGTAAGGTAGTGCTGCCTCAGTCCTGGGCACCGGTAGGCGGCCCCCAAATCTGGACTGGTACTCACAGCAGAGGGGCTCTCGGTGAACAGCACTGGGGACAGGACACATCTGAGCAAGAGCCAGAAAAGACAATTGAATGTGATGCTGCATTTGTAACGTAGGCCAAGGAACTCTCTGGAAGAGTAAGTCAATGCTCAGAGAGAGCCAGGGTTGAGGCAAGATGACCAAGGGCAGGGACAGGCCTCATCTCCTATTGCAGCTCAGAAAGAGGCAGGCTACCATGGCTTGCCCTCCAAAGTCATGTGGTGGGGACAGCCAGAGCCTGCAGAACAGGTGTGCTGGGACTGGTGGCCGCTTCCTGCCGCACTGCCATGAGAAATACAACCAACCCTAGTGGAGAGATGATGGCTCTCTCTCTGATTACGTGTCCATCTGCATCCAGGGCTTTCCACTTGCAAAGGCTCCCACATCCATCCCCTGTGATCCTGCCCCACCCCCACCCCCCATGAGCAGGAAGGAGAGGGAAGTCATCCTCTTCAGGGCAGATGAAGGAGCAGATGCCCAGAGCAGGTACGTTAGAGGGCAGCACGGTTGTCCCAAGCCTCCCGAATCCCTGTCTCAAAGTGTCATGAGGAACTGGGGGCTGGGGATAGGCAGTGGGTGACACTACATAGAGCTTTGGGGGGCTTGGTGATGGCCCTACACCATCAACTCCTGTGTACAACATATCCTCTCATGAATGCTACTTCTGACCCACCTCTCCGCTCTCCCCACCCCACAGGGGTGTGCTGGGTTTGCTCTCCTTACCAAAGGATCTGTGAGGCACACTTCTTTCCCGAGGGTTTGAAATGTGCTCTTCCTAGAAAAAAAGAGCATGAGGTTGAGAAAGCTCTGGGCTTTGTGTAAATTGGATACAGGAGTGCTAGGGTGAGGGCCTGGGCCGCCTTCCTGGAACTGGCTCCTATCATTAAACCCCAGGGGTGTAAGGGGTCATCCTTCTAAGCCTAAGAGGGGGTCTGGGTGGTAACAAAGGTGTGCGTGGGCGCCTGTGCTGTCTGGGGCTCCTGGATGTTGGGTTATTGCGGAACCCTCACTGCTGAACCTATGGCTCAGGCACACTCCTGCCAGGCCCTTCGGGGAAGACAGGACATTCCAACCGGTGAGAACTTCCCAAGGCATGGAGCTGCCGAGCACACCTATGATGCTTTCTCAGTCCCTCCCTAGCTTGCTTAGAATACGGAAGGAAAACAGTGTCAAAACCACATTTAATTAAGTTCCTTCCAGCACAAAAAACTGGTACTTGGTCTCTGGGATGACTGTTACTCTTCCTCATTCCCACCCAACAAATGGTAGAATGCTAGCCATTGGAATCTCCGGCGGCATGAATGGGATGTGTCAGGTGTCTGGTAATATGGAAACTGTAAATGATACAAACGTTTTTTGAGTGTCAATATTATCCTCATCATTGCTACTTTATCAGAGCAATAACCTGAAAACCAGAAGAGTGATACAAGTGTTTTGTGTCTCACTATTACCATAACTATTATTGCTATTTGATTACAACAGCTTCCGGTCATTGTAATCAAGTCACCCGGCTAGTATTTGAAGACCGAGGAAGTGGGCAGAGCCCTGCATAGCGGCCAAGCACCCCGCTTCCTTGGGGGCCACAACCGGCTCCGTTCACGTGGCTCATCGGGGCTGGAGCCCGGCTCCCCAGGCGGGAAGTTTGGCCCCGCTGCTGGGAGAAGGGCCAGCACCCAGAAAAGCCAAGTGGGAGACAAGGCAAACACCCTGGACCGCAGCGCCTGCCTGAGCACCCGGATACGCCCACGCCTGACGCCCGTCACCGACTCCTCAGTGAGACAGCAAACTGCCCCGCGCCTACATCCTGTGCTCAGGTGGTCCCCGCCCTGCCTGCGCGACACACGCTACTGCGGGGAAGGGACGTCGGGGCGCCCAGGCCAGGCCGCCCTAACAGACCCAA